TAAAAAGAATTAAGATGTGTTATATGCATGCACTAACTCCCCACATTGAATGTAATCGTTATGTATTGCAAACATACACTAATAAACATAAAATTATTCATTCAATAAATGGAACATCTGCACTTAAAAATAATAATTGTAAGTTTTCTGAAATAAATAGTCCAAGAAAAAGGAAGGCAGAGACCCAGATTCAAGAAGAAACCAGTCTAAAATCTACTCAAACTCGGGGAAACAATAAGGTCATCTTGGTCAGTACATAGTCATTAATTATGGCATATCTGGGAAAAACAAATTTGGGACAAAATAGGTCATGGTTATTTTATAAAACATGGAATGGAACCATAACAGTGAGATAAAACATTGTTATTAAATTATGCATATCTTTAATATTCATATTTAGGGATTTATGTAACATTTTTGTGACAATAACTTTATTTAAAAACTGAACAGCATCCCTGTTCTCACAATTCACTAAACCAATGCACATTTCCAACTGACTGCCAACTAGCCTGCAATGCCGCGAGTTGAAAAAATACCAATACTACAATCTTACTTCATTCCACCTCCTTCTGAAATTAAGAATGTTGTGTTTGCCTGGGATTGTTGTCAGCATGGATATAACTTGCTGTATCTTACATATATTTAAGAAATTAATGGCATTAGTACAGTAAGCATTGCCCTTCTGCCAATGCAATCCTGAGTTATTGTATCACTACTATGAAAATGGGAAGTTAAGATTATCTCCATAATTGCCACCTACTGATGGAAAGATACAATGAAAGGCATTTTTTAAGTGTCAATGGAAATATCATCTCAAACATATCATTTGAGTGATTCATAAAGCTCAATGAAAGTTTGCCCTTGTTCAAAGGCAAAGAACAACATTTAGAGGAAGTCTCAATGGGTAGAAGAGTGTTTAAAAATAGATTCTTAATGGGTGACAATAGGTGATGGTAAATGACACTATCTCTAAATAACTCCACTCTTCATAATGTCTTTATTCTTTCATAGCACTTCTGAAAATTTGCACTCATTTTCTTTTTTTTCCAACTGTATAGATGGAAGTAACAGCAAGATTTAACATGGATATTTCCAATATATATTTATGTAAATGACACTTAAAGAAAAATCTTGTATTCTCAGAGCAAGAAAATCAACTCTTAACCTTATCAAAGATTTGGTCTATAATTACCTTTCAAAATTAGGTATTAAAAGAACACATTTGGTCTAATTCCACTGAAGTATTTTAATAGAATATTTAAATCGTCTGTGATTCCTGCTCAACTCATTAACAATTTTCAGATAATTTTATGAATAATAATTACAATCTTTAGAGATTATTTAAAAGGAATTTTCAAAGTTCTGTGTAAGGAAGACAAAATAAAAGTACCACAGTGCTTTTTAGAGCAATTTTCTGTGCATGTAAATGAAGAAGAAGATGTAAAGATTTGAAGCTCATGAAAAGAAAATATCCCACTAAGTCAAATTATCTAGGGATTCAGAATTAAATGAAAATATTTCCAAATTTTCAGACAGAAGTCACATGAGTCCTTGTAGTTCCGCTTTGAACTTTCCATAAGGGTCACACAATAAAGGCAAAGCCTAGAGAAAGTATGAGGTTAACGATCCTATTAGAAATTCTCCTGCTTAGTCTGAAATCCTGATGGGCTTCACTCTGAGTGTCAGGATGAAAAAGGAGTGAGTAGACCAGGTATAAGTAAACAGTCTTCTCAACCTTGGCACAGGAAAACAGCGAAAAATTTGTTCACTGAGGGCTTATACTCACAATCCCAACCTCATACACATTTGCAAACCAAAACCATGCATCTGTGTGACCCATAAAACCTGCAGTGAAAATTCAGATATTCTGCATTAGTAGTGACCTCAAGGAAGGAAGCTCTCAGGTCTCTTATGCAGAAGCAAGCACAAATTATCTCTGAAGACCTCAAAAGATTACTATAGAGAAAATTCAAAGGAACAATAGCAGATAAATTTTTAAAATTACAAAACAAAGACAAAATACTATATGTGAAAGCAAGCAAAAATAAACTTTAATTTCAGACCTGCAAAGAATTTTGAAATTAGTACTTTGAAAATACTAATACTCCTCCAAGAATGCTAAAGAACTATTACTATGTACATAAAAATAAGAGGGATAAATGAAAAATATGAGCAAAGTAATTATTAAAGATTATAAAATAAATGAAATTAACATAACAGAATTTCTAAAAATATGTAATCAAAATTTAAAACTCCAGAGAAACATTAAACAATTCAACATAGCCAGAAAGAAAAATAATGAACTGAAAGATAAATATAAAGAAATTATTCAGAATTTGCATGAAATACAAAGAATGTTTTTTTTATAAAAAACAGAGAGCAATTAAAGAAAAAAGATTAAGAAAATCTAACATATAGAAGTTCCAGAAAAATAAATAAGAATTTAGAAAAAATAATATCATAATAGGCAGTAAGAATATTGTAGAATTTTTTGAAGTCTCCAAATATCAGATCTAGAAAGTATACCAAATGCCAAGTACGATAAAGAAAAATAACAAATAGACATATAGATAGAGATAGAGATATAATCTCCACAGTTACATTCCTCATTCATTTTGGGAAACTATCAGACATCAAACATTTTTTTAAAAAAATCTTAAAATAATCCAAAGAGGCAAGATACACCATCCTAACTTTTTATTATCACCATAAAACCTATAAATATGTTCAATATACCACAAAACAAAACTCCTAATCTAAAATTTTATAACCACTGACAAAATCCTTTCATAGTAAAAGACAAAATAAGTACATTTTGTGACAAAAACTGAGTTTGCCTCCGTAAATCTGCATTTATTGGTCAAGGCTTTCTAGCAAAATAAAAACAGAAAAGGGGATTGTGAGGGGCTAGAGTGAGGAGAAAGAGATTATGGAAATTGGCTCATAGGATCATGGAAGTTTCCTAACTCCTGTTGGCCAGAGGCTGGAGAATCAGGAGACAGATTATAATTCAACCTAAGTCACCAAGCCAAAGGCCTAATGTCTAAAAGCTAGAGAAGATAGATGTTTCAGCTCAAAGAGAAAGAAGAGAGCTAATTAATTTTCCTTTTCTCTCTACTATTTTTTTCTATTACCACTTTAAAAAGATTACATTGGGGAAGGTGCTCCTTTCCTCAGTCTACGGATTGAAATGCTAATTTCATCCAGAATAGTTTCACAGACACAAGGAAAAATAAAGTTTTAATAGATATCTGGGAATCTCTTTTTTATTTTAACTTCATTGGTACATTTTATGTATGCAATATAATGATATTTATCATTAGAGATTTGTACCTTGTCTGGGAATCTCTTTGACACATAAAATTAACCTTTTCATACTCTAAGATTTTTAAAGGATGTATACTCTTGATATAAAATATCCCCATAAAAGATCTAAGACTCAGATGGAAGCGAAGAGCAACTGCAGTATAGAATATGAAAACAAATCTAGGCAAAGCACTAGAACAAAGCCTTGTAAAATTTATTTAGGTATATAATTTAAATATTCCAAAAAAGTATATACTTGAAAGGTAAATAAATTGAGTGGTGTTTCTTTGTATTTTGTTGTACAAATTTATGGGTCTTAATTTGATTTAATGTATAATGATTAAATCAGAATGGTTCACATTTTGCAGTCCTTAAATATGTTTAAATTTTTATTAACAGATAACAGTTGTACTTCTATGAAGTACATTGTGATATTTCATACATGTATATAGTATGTACTGATCAAAACAGGGTGATAAATGTTTCCATTTCTTTTTCAGTACTTTGTATTTTTAGCAATAAGCTCCTCTCCTATAGTAATTGATAAAATAGTCCCCCCACTGTGCCATAGAACACTAACATTTATTAATTCCATCTAATGAGCTACAGAGTGTTATGGATCTTGTATTATCCTGGAAGAGGGTAGAAACTTTAACTAATAATTTGAATTTTAAGAGTTTGTGCTTTACATTGTACAGAAAACAGTAAAATAATAGAAAATATTGTAAAGATCATAAGCTAGTGGAGAAAGTGAGTTGACTTTTTTAAAAAAGAAAAAGAACAAAGGAAATAAGATAATGCATAGCTCAAGGAGCATTTTTAGGAAAAGATATAAAAATATGAAATACATGTTACACTACCTGTATAACAGCCTAAAATTTAGAAACTTGTAAAATATAGAATACAATGGATAATACAAAATAAGCTGGTATATTCAGATACCCATATATATTATTATAGTAAATCTCAATAGACTAAATGAAGCATTAGAAAACAAAAATTACACCTGGGTGAAAAGAGCTAAATGCAGTGGGCATGCTTGTATCCCAGCACGGAGGGAGGCTGAGGCAAGATGACTTCAACTTTGAGTCTCACTTGGGCAATTTAGTAAAATCCTATCTCAAAATAAAAGAGAAAAGGGCAGGAATGTAGGTCAGTAGTTCAGTCCCCAGTAGCACAAAAATAAATAAATAATAGGAAAGAAACATATGTGTTGAGGACACAACCACATACATATGGATATACATATAATCTAAAATGAAAGTACAGACAATTTCAGTCAAAAGGTAGAAAAAGAAGCAACAACAACAATAAAAACAAAGAGGCTGAGACACCACCAGGAAAAAATGGAAAAAAAATTACAAAGGATGAAGATAGTAACAAAAGTTATAAATCAGCATGATTTACAACAATGTTATGTTTATATCCATCTAACAAAGTGAATTTGAAGTATATGCAGCAATAACTGACAGACCTGAAGAAATTCCACCACCATACTGGTGGGAAAAATAATACTCACCATCCTCTCACTAATGGGTTCCTATATTAAAAATACTGACTAAGATAAAACCAAAGCAATATATAATTTCACACTCAACAGTTGGGCAAAAATTTGCAGTAGGAACTGTCCTCAAGTTGAAGCTGCTTAGAAAAGGAATTAGGGATGGCATCTCCTTGATACAAGCTACACTCCCACCACTTCTTGGCCTTTTGGTTAACATCAAGTGTAGCATCTGTTCTTACCAAGTTACACCCTGGCAGTGTACCTGAGAGAAGCTCTTATACATGTGTATAAGGACATATATTCATGAATATCTATTTCAGTATTTTTCAAGAGCCAAAAATAGAAGCAGGACAAAGGATAAAGTATTATGTTATCCTACAAAGCAGTTATTAAACAATAAATACAAAGAAAAAAAAAGAAAATAGAACACAGCAACAGTTACCAGCCATGTCCAACCTTGTCCTCCCATTTTTAGCGCTATAAAAAATATTTTGTAAAGGAACTTTTGTTACCTATAGATATTAATTATATTATTTTATATGTAGCCCAAGACAAGTCCTCTTCACTCAGTGGGGCTCAGGAAAGCCAAAAGGTTGGATACCCACAAGAGACAATAAGGAAATGTCAAAAATACATTGACTGAAAGAGTCAAGTCATGGAAGAGTATATCAATTATGAGCTTATTTAAATAAAATATATAGAGTTCATGGTGTATCTCAGTGCTTTCCATGTGTATGTAAAGGCCCTGGGTTTGATCCTCAGCACTAAAAACCAAACCAAAATAAATAAAGATCAAACCAGACAAAATTAGAGCCAATGTGTGTATGTGCTTGCTGCAGTCCAGTATGTGGGCTTGCACTGTGCCAAAGCACTACCCTGACTAATGTGACTCAGGAAACTGGGCATCTGGGTGTGTCAGTGCAGACAGAGACAAGGGCTGCCACCACCTGAGCAAGGGGACATTTTAGTCCTCCATACACCACAAGGAACATAGTAATGAATTAGAAAGGAATTCAAAGTTAAATCAAAGCTCGGGAAGGGAAACGATGAGGAGGCTCTGACCTAAGAAACGAACCCTGCACCAAGTTGGACAGTCCCCATAGATTACTCTTTCTCTCCTTTGGTTCTCTAATTGCTCCTTATATTTAAATGCCAACTCCTTAGCATTGTAAATTCAACCCACATAAACTGAACAAAACAGATCACTCCCCTCTCAGCTCCATACTTCTCCTTTCCCTTACTTGTTTCCTCTCTAAAAATCTCTTTTGGGGCCTTTCATCATGGCACTGCTGGTAAAAATTTAAACAGTGTTCTATGAAACTTTCCATAGTTCTCCTAGTTACTGTATATGTAATCTCTTAACTCCCAGAACAAGAATAAATTGTATTATGGTACATAACACTCTCAATGTTGTTTATAACTTTAAAAGACACTGTAGTAGATCCTATATTCCAAGAGAGCCAGACAGTCCTAAGAATTTGTTTATAGGACTTCCTGATGTGTCTCCTTCCAGACAGGGCAGAGAAGTCTTCATTAATGACAGAAACAATAATGGGTGTTCCTTAAACAAAAAGAGAAATAAAGATTAGACCAACTTACTCTTGGAAGAAGTTTCCCAGTAAAAAGAGTGCACTTGAAGACAGAACAAAGTCTAGATTTCTGGGCTAATCTACTCTGAGACCCCAAGGCTTGGAAATCCCAGCCCTCTCATATTTAGTTTAAAATTGTATGTATCAATTTATCAATTTAGGACTTATGGACTAAATACTTATATTCCCCTAAAATACATATGTTGAGCCCTAGGCTTAGTGTGATGGTATTAGAAAGTGAGCCCTTTGAGAGATTTAGATGAAGATGTGAGAGTTGATTCCCTTTGTAGGATTAATTCCCTTATAGAAAAGAAAAAGACATCAGAACTTCCTTTCTTCATCCTATGAGGACAGAGCAAGAAATGACCATCTCATAAAGACTGCATCTGAGGCCACTTTGATCTTGTATGTCCCAGTCTCCAGAATTGTATGATATAAATGTTGGTTGCTTAATCCACCTGCTCTATGGTACACTGTTATAGCAGCCTGAACAAAGATAATGACTTTAAAATGTACAAACAATAATGGAATAACCTTCTAGACATCACAGAGGAGCAGCAGTGCTGTTTGTAAAAAACAAACAAACAACAACAACAACAGAAAAAACGATAAAGCAAGAAGCAAAGGCAGCAGCTGCAGAAATGTGGGTTGACATCCCCCAGGGGACAGAGAGCACTGACACTTTTCTCCACAAAGGTGAATAGACTTCAACACCTGTTTCTGTTAAAATGTATCAGATATCTAACGCAAATTGTTCTAAAAAGTGCAGAGAAGTCAGCTTCTTTTGCAACTGCAAATTGTTCTAAAAAGTGCAGAGAAGTCAGCTTCTTTTGCAACTCTAAATATGTTGTTTAGAAAAGAAAGCTACAAAGGATTGAAGACTGGAAAGAAGTGACTGTCTGGTGTTTCTCTACCTCCAATGGCTTTATTATTTATTGCTTATTATGAAAACTGTCCAGGCTAAACTACAAGAATGGGATGGAGTTTCTATATGGACTTTGCATATCTTTGACTTCATCCCACCTTCTCCTTCTACAGGAACCATCAGCTACCTACAAACTCTAAGACTATCTCTCCCCAGTTTAGCCTGGTCAGTGAGTTAGACACACAGACTCTTGGAGAACTGGCAAGTGTAGTAAAACATATCAACCTGCCTTTGGCAGTTACACATTCAGCCCTCTATATCAGTGGATTCTCTACCCTCCAATCAACCACCTTCAGATAGAAAATAGTCAGAAGGGGAAACTGCATCTATACTGAATATGAATAGACATATTTCTTGGCATTATTTTCTAAATAATACAGTATAACAAATATTTTTATAGTATTTACCTTTTAATAGCTCCGCCTAGTATTAGGCATAAGTATAATGACCTGGATTTAAAGTCTATGGAAAGATAGGTTATATGCAAACACTGCCATGCCATTTCATATAAGAGACTTGTACATTCTCAGATATTTGTGTCTACATGGGGCTGTGGAACCAATCTCTCCTGGATCCAAAGTGACAAACAACTATACTACCTGGCAACAACCCTTTGAGCTCTCTCCAAACCATAAGTTGAGCAAATTCATTCCTTGTATTGGTCATAATCATGAGTCTAATGTACCTGAGTTCATAGTGTTAAAAGATATGACTAAGAAATCCCAAGTGTCACATTATTATAATTAGTTTGCTCTAATGATATCACTAACAGAAAGAGCTGTCAGAAGTGATATTAGAACTAGTTACTATCATGTCCCAGTTAATCCAAGCACTGATCAGGTATTGGCCACACGTCTATTGGTTGCAACCCCATTCGCTGGGAAATCTCTTACAGCCAGAGTGTATAGAGGATTTAGAGAGTCACTATGTTTAATGAAACTGTTCTTTGAATATTAACTTGCCCCAAGACTTAAATTCAAATATATTACTTTCATTTGTGTCATTCATTTGCTCCTAAACCAGCTCAAAAATAAATTATTGAACTTCAAAATTTTTATAATGACTTAAAATCCTACGTTTTAATGACAACTCTGGGAAATTTTAAGTAAAAAGCTATTGAATTTATAGTGTTTTGAGAATGCAAAGTTGTACATTATAAACTACCTTTGTTGAAAATGAAAATAAGGGGAACACTGATGATATTTGCATATTAGTTGCCATAAAATTTAAGTGAAAGCTATGTTTATTCAGCATCTTGTAACTATAAAATTAATTTTTCTTAAATCTGTTTACTATAAAGAAAAAACTTAAAGTGTTTATTTAATAGCTATAACAATCATTTACTTATAGCCTTTGGGAGAGGGATGGGGAAAGGTATTTAAAAAGGAAGTAAGTTGTGTTATGTACATGTACCCAATCTCCAAGACGATTATAAAATGTATGCACTGCAAATATGTACTAATAAAAAATAAAATAGAAAAAATCAGAAAATGTATTTTCTAGAAGTACTAAGTCCTTGTTTAGACAGTGTTTGTCTTGAAGGTTGGCTCCTCTCACCTGCTATTAATATACCATCCATGATTTCAGTGACCTTGCCCTAATTTACTTAGTTCATGTGAAAGAATAGAAAGATGCTCTTCAGATTAAAAACATAAATGGGAGATTAACTTCCAGGATGGTTGTGTGAGTACTGTGGACTCTCTCCAGTTATACAACTATTCAAGTTGCTGAAAACATAAAAAAATTAATCTCTGGAAATGATCCTAAGGCCATACAGCAAACAGAAAAGAACTGTTAAAGAAAATCCAAAAATGGGCATCTGAAATGAACAGACATTTATCAGACAAAGAAGTAAAAGCAGCAAGTAAATATATGAAAAAATGTTCCACATCACTGGTCATTCGAGAGATGCAGATGAAAACAACACTGAGATTCCACCTCACCCCACAAAGAATGGCTGCTATCAAGAAATTATACAATAACAAATGGTGGCAGGGTTTTGGGAGAAAGGAACCCTTCTCCATTCTTGGTGAGAGTGCAGACTGGTGCAACCACTATGGAAATCAATATGGAGATACCTCAAAGAGCTTGGACTGGAGGTTCCATTTGACCCAGCCATCCCTCCGCTGGGTATCTTTCCAAAAGAACTAAAAGAATCATATCACAGAGAAGTATGCGCACCCATGTTTATAGTGGCACAGTTTGTAATAGCTAAAACTTGGAAACAGCCTATTTGCCCATCCGTTGGAAACTGGATAAAGAAGATGTGGTTTTTCTATAAAATGGAATATTACTCAGCCATAAAGAATGAGAAAATAGATTCATTTATAGGAAAATGGATACATATTGAAGATATACTCCTAAGTGAAATAAATAAGGCACACATGTGTAAATACCAAATAGTTTCTCTGGTGTGAATAATCTGCAATAATACAGAAGATCCTAATAAGATTACTGACATTGAGAAATGGGAAGAAGGGAGCTAAAGGTGTAGGGAAAGTGGGATGGGTAGGGGAAGGGTAATAAGGGAAAAGAAAAAAATGTGAGATAATGAAAAGATGGAAATAAAATGTTTATAGATGGGGAGGGGATGAGGGGTTGAAGGGAGGGCAGGGACAAGGGGAAAAAATGAGAACCAAGACTTGTCATGTAGAGGTACAAGATTCCAATAATAAATGTAACTGTACTGTATCCCTAAAATGTACCAATAAACTTAATTAAAGCTGGGAAAAAAAAAAGAAAATCCACTACATCTCAGTAAGGACATCAAGAGCCTAAAGCACTAAGCTCTGACATGCTCACACCTTCTCAATTCCCCCAGGCCACAGCACACTGTGATAGACTCTAATATCTCCATGTGCAGCCAAGAA